TATAGCTTTGCAAGCTCTCAAGAACTCTTGCCTTGATAGAGAAGCTACATAAATAATCTGGATGCTACACAATGTTTCAGTGTTTTCAGCCCAGGAAGTTCACTCCAGAAGCCTGCTTTCCACTGCTCTGTGTGCAGTTCCCATGTTGTCACATAATGGCCATCTTTAGAAGAAAACCCTCATCTTTAGTAAGTGGAGCAATCTTTCTTGGCAAGACAAAATTTAGGTAGTACTAAATTCTAATTAGAAAGAACATGGGACTGGGCATAATGGCTCACACTTGTCATCCCAGCACGTTGGGAAGCCAAGGTAGGAGGATCACTTGAGGAAAGGAGTTTGAGATCAGATTTGCATTTATGTAATGACCAGTGGAATGTATCTCAAAATAATAAGAGCTGTTTCTGACATACCCACAGCCAATATCATACTGAATGAGCAAAAACTGGAAGCATTCCCTTTGAAAACTGGTGCAAGACATGGATGCCCTCTCTCACCACTCCTATTCAACACAGTACTGGAAGTTCTGGCCAGGGCAATCAATCAAGAGAAAGAAATAAAGTGCATTCAAATAGGAAAAGAGGAAGTCAAATGGTCTCTGTTTGCAGATGACATGATTGTATATGTAGAAAACCCCATTGTCTCAGCCCAAAGTCTCCTTAAGCTGATAAGCAACTTCAGCAAATTCTCAGGATACAAAATCAATGTGCAAAAATCACAAGCATTCCTATACACCAATAATAGACAAAGAGAGAACCAAATCATGAGTAAACTCCCATTCACAATTGCTACAAAGAAAATAAATATCTAGGAATACAATTTGTAAGGGATGTGAAGGACCTCGTCAAAAAGAACTACAGGCCGGGTGCGGTGGCTCAAGCCTATAATCCCAGCCCTTTGGGAGGCGGAGGCAGGTGGATCACGAGGTCAAGAGATCAAGACCATCCTCTGGTCAACATGGTGAAACCCTGTCTCTACTAAAAATACAAAAATTAGCTGGGCATGGTGGCGCGCGCCTGTAATCCCAGGCACTCAGGAGGCTGGGGCAGGAGAATTGCTTGAGCTCAGGAGGCGGAGGTTGCGGTGAGCCGAGATCGCGCCATTTCACTCCAGCCTGGGTAACAAGAGCGAAACTCTGTCTCAAAAAAAAAAAAAAGAACTACAAACACCGCTGGAGGAAATAAGAGAGGGCGTAAACAAATGGAAAAATATTTCATGCTCAGGGATAGGAAGAATTAATATCATGAAAATGCAAATCTAAACCCCAATGAGATGCCATCTCACACCAGTTAGAATACAATCCTTAAAAAGTCAAGAAACAACAGATGCTGGAGAGAATGTGAAGAAACAGGAATGCCTTTACACTATTGGTGGGACTGTAAATTAGTTCAACCATTGTGCAAGACAGTGTGGTGAATCCTCAAGGATCTAGAACCATAAATACCATTTGACCCAGCAATCCCGTTACTGAGCATATACCCAAAGGATGATAAATCACTCTACTATAAAGACACATGCACACATATGCTTACTGCAGCACAATATTCACAATAGTGAAGACTTAGAACCAACCCAAATGCCCATCAATGATAGACCAGATTAAAAAAATGTGGCACATATACACTATGGAATACTATGCAGCCACAAAAAAGGATGAGATCATGTCCTTTGCAAGGACATGTATGAAGCTGGAAACCATCATTCTCAGCAAATTAACACAGGAACAGAAAGCCAAACAATACATGTTCTCACCCATAAGTGGGAATTGAATTATGAGAACACATGGACACAGGGAGGGGAACGTTATACACTGGTGCCTGTCTGAGCATGGGTGGCTAGGGGAGGCACAGCATGAGGAGAAATACCTAATGTAGATGATAGGCTGATGGGTGCAGCAAACCACCATGGCATGTATATACCTATGTACCAAACCTACATGTTCTGCACATGTATCCTAGAACTTAAAGTGTAAGAAAAAATAAAAGAAAGAAAGAGAGAGGAGGGAAGGAAGGAAGGAAGGAAGGAAGGGAGGGAGGGAGGGAGGGAGGGAGGGAGGGAGGGAGGGAAAGAGAGAAAGAAAGAGAGCATATGTAAGATTGGGGGCTTGGCCGGGTGCGGTGGCTCACGCCTGTAATCCCAGCACTTTGGGAGACCGAGGAGGGTGGATCACGAGGTCAGAAGATGGAGACCATCCTGGCCAACAGGGTGAAACCCTGTCTTTACTAAAAATACAAAAAATTAGCTGGGCGTGGCAGCACATACCTGTAGTTTCAACTACTCGGGAGGCTGAGGCAAGAGAATTGCTTGAATCCAGGAGGCACACATTGCAGTGAGCTGAGATTGCACCACTGCACTCCAGCCTGGGTGATAGAGCGAGACTCCATCTCAAAACAAAACAAAACAAAACAAAAAATGGGGGCTTAATAGAATATGGAAACCATAAATTAGGCATAGTTGAATGGTTGATATGGGAGAGAGATGTGTCAAGATGACATATTTTTTGGCCTGAACAACTGGATAGATGGCAATGGAATTTATTACAACAGGAAATATACAAGAAGGGGAGCTTTGCAGGAAGAAAAGAGCAAGGGTCCTACTAGAGACAGCAATCATTTGTTCAGTTATGATAGGTTGAGTTTCTGTTGGGGGAACATTTAGTGCAGAATCTGATGCACGATAGTCCCTCAGTAATTGTTGGCTAACATGGATTTTCTCTATGTGTATTTATTTGGAAAGATGCCTAAGAGGTTTTTTCTTTTTTCCCAAAATGAAGGCATATCAAAAGGAGAGGTCACACTAGTTAATCACAATTATCTCTAATCAAATAGGAAAACCAGCTAGAATTGAGAAAAGATGACATGGGAACAATTCAAAGTCGACCTGCAGGGGTGTGGTGAGATGCCATTGAGAAAGTGCCTTTGCTAATCATGATTGGGTTTTGTATTAACTAGGTAAGATTTGGGGGAAAAAAAGAAAAAGAAAAAGGCTAGGAAGAATCAAGAACTCAACTGCTCCTCTACGGAAAACAAGTTGGCTGAAATTACGAAAAGTCATTTCTTTGGTTTTGTTCATAATACCTAAAGAGTAGAAAAGCCACATTCTCAAAAGGAAGGGTAATCATTAAAATGATGGGAAAAAAACTACTGAATTGGCCATCAACTGAATTCTTGAAGGAGAAAGAGGAGAAAGGGAATACGTGATCTTCAGCCAAAAAGTCAGGAACTATTTTATAAAGGTGTCTTGAATTCCAAGCAATAAAAACAACTCAGTTCTGAAATAATGAAAAGAATCATTTTACATTTCTCAAGGTAAATATTTGCCAGTGTATATGTTGAAGACATTTTACTCCAAGGAGAAAAAAATAATTAATTTTAAATTTCCTCCAAATGCAGAATTTTCCTCAGTTTCATCCCCCTATCCATAGGTATTATGTTTAAAGAGGCACAGTCCTGCATGTAACAAGCCTGTAATTGCAAAATGATTCCATTATTAAGCTGTGGTTTATTCCAAGGCTTCTGGATAATCTTGATGAGTACTGTACTTGTTGTTTAACTCTCGAGATTTTGTAATAAAAGTTTAATGAGTTACTTATTATTAGAATGTTTATAGCCATTATTTTAAGGTGAACAATAATGACGTAAAGTTTGTGCGCATTTGGTTTAAAATGTATTCAACTCACATATCAGTTAATGCTACAGTGATTTTTAAAAACTCTCTTATCAGTACACGTGTCTCAAGGCAATGCAGCTAAACCTCAGCTTTACTGGGGCTACGGTTAATAATGAAACTAAGGAAGGATTTCTCACTTGAATCATGTCAAAGCCAGATCCTAACTTCTTGCATTTCAGAATTTGAACAAGAATTGCTTTTATTATAGCATTTTGAACAGATTTCACAAGAGCATACTTATAAAGCAAGAGGACAAAAAGTTGAAATTAAGTCCTGAAGGCACTGAATATTCATTTCTATTTAAAGCTAACCAGATATTCTATTAATGATCATAAATATTAAGGGAACATACCAAAATAAATCTAGTTTATCTGATTTCTGTCTACTGAAATGCTATGAAACCAAAGGTCAATCACATCTCCAAAAAATGTTTTACCCCTGCGGAAACTGTCTACAAGTTTTTCAGATAGAGACGAGATTTTCTAGAAATTATAATGATTCAAGCACAAAAATTTTCAAGTTACAGCAATCAATGGAAAGTGTGCATATCTACAGAACCTGTATAAAACTTACACTCAGAAGTGTAAGATAGTTGTCTTTCTTGAAATAAGATTAATTTAGATTTTTAAAATCAGACTAAAACTTTTAATTATTAGACGTTGCCAAATGGATTTTATGAAAAATATGGCTGAAATGAGTGACTAATTTCATAACCATTTTGTGCCACTGTTTTAACGCACAAATTACTCATTAAATCATTTGAATATAAAGAACCATAACATAATTCAGTGATGAGTACAGTGCTGACATCCTGGAAGCATGTATAATTAAAGCAGGTCATCAAAAGAGAGGCAAAATATATTAGAAGAACATAGCACAAAATGAAAATAAAACCAATTTAACTCATAGTCACAAAATAGGAAAAACAAATGTTTTCCTCCAATCCTCCAACTCCCACCCCCCAAAAAAGATAAAATACAATAAACATGTCATATGATTATGTCTATCTGATAATCCCACATGCTCCATATGGTCACAGCCAATGCTTCCAAGCATTAACTATAAAATCATATCTTCTTCCTTTAGTAGTTTTTCAAGTCAATACTATTCTTTGACCAAAATATTAGGTTGGGTTCCCTCCTATCATGCCATACCTTTAATCAATATATTGTTTCCATTGAGAAGTGAGATTGTAAAGGAAGTTTATTCTTAAAGACTCTATTGAAAACATATTGTAACAAATAGAATTTGCTAATTTTTTGGCTGCTTAAACAATTAATCTCTTCTTACACAGCTGCAATATATAAATGTGTTAACTCAAAATATGTTCTTACCTCCCATCCATAACTAGGATCTTTCAGGTTTGATCTCTGCTCTCCCACATAAGGCCCAAACTTTTCACCTACTTCGATCTTCCTTTTGGTCCATATTCCTAGTCCTGCTCCAGGCATATTTGACTCTCGAAGTTCAAACTCAGCAGGAATTGGGATATCATCAGGGATGTAGATGGGGGCTTTGTAAGGAGAGCCCTCCTTTGGAGTGAAGGCTTCACTGGATGTGGCAGGTGAGCATGGCTCTTGAATATTGAGGGAGGGAGTGCTGGCTACTCCGTCTGCATCTGGCATTTCTTCCAAAGGTATTTCAGGGTAGATGGCATATACACACTCATTATCTGTGAATAAATAAGAATTTCATAAATTTCTTTGATATTAAAGAGACAAAATTCCACATGGGTAGCCACCTTACTATGTTGTTGTTCTTTGAAGGCTAAATAGGTGCCTTCATTAAAATCTTCATTATTCACAGGCCAGGGAGAGGCTAGAGATTATGGCCTCTGTGGTTTATCTGTGGTGAATCCATAAATCAAATGAACTAATCCTCAATTGTCAATACTTGCATGGACTAGTTCAATTCATTATCCATCTGGAAAACAATCAGCAACTTCATTATTGTTCTGACTGAAGTACAGACAAGAAGTAAGCATGTGTGTAACTATAAGCCCCAAACCACCCCAAATTGGGAGCTGACAGGATTCCAAAATTTATTGGAAAGTTGTGTCATGCAATGTTATCTTAGAATAATGGTAGGAAAATCATCAAAGATTCCAAAGGCTGCCATGTGCAACAAGGCTTAAATGTGTGTGGCAGAGTTATTTATTAGAATATTAATTCGTGTGTCTTCCTTCTCTGTTTTTCCTTTCCAATTTTGAACACGTCCCCAAGCCCTTGGTATTTCCTTGCGTTGGTAACTTCTGCAGAGCAGAAAGTTAAAGTTACCTGAAGCCAGTAAAAGGATATTTTACTGGATATTTGTAAAAGCTAAAATTGTTAAAGAAATTAGGTAAATTTTCCAGAGGGAAAAGGGAGAGGAGGGGTGCCCTGAGGTGCACCAGAAAGACAGAGAATTTCCTCCAGACTGAGACACAATGGAGATCAGAAACCCTTTGTATGGGGCACTGCCCATCTTTACGAAGCAGCACCTGGGGAGGTGGGCAAGACCTTTGGGGGATAGCAGGGTTGAGTAGGAATCCAGGCACTGAGCCCTGAGGCCCTAAGGACCCCCAGAGCAGCACAGCCCCACACTTGAAGTAAACAAGTGGACAATGTGAGACCTTAAGACCTCTATGACACTTGTATGGGGATTGTACGAAACCAGCCAAGGGGGATTTCGTTTGTCTTAAAGTCAATGAATACATGTTTCTTGTCTGCTAGGATTACAAATGGAAAGTCATACCCAATTTGTTTGATTCATAGAACTGCAAGGAAAGCACTAAGAAAATCAGGTGAAAATTACAAAGATATTTCAATCAGAGGTAGTCAAAGGTTAAGAATTTGAAAAATTAGCTGAGTATGGTGGTGTGCACCTGTTATCCCAGCCTCTTGGGAGGCTGAGGGGGAGGACTGCTTGAGCTCTAGAAGGCTGCAACGAGTTATGATTGTGTCACTGCACTCTACGCTGGCAACAGAGTGAAAGCTGCCCTCAAAAAAAGAAGGTAAATGGGTTGCCTCCAGTTCCATGATCATCGTTCTACTACAGCCTGGATACCCACGAGTTAAGGATGATGTGGACGCATTTCAGCACCAAGTTGTTGATTAAACTATGTGACCTTTAAGATCCTACCAACCCTGCAGTGCTATGAATTAAAGTCCTCTAGAAGCTTATTGGGCTAGAAGGTAGAAGACCTGACTTCCAGGCCTAAATCTTTCTCATATTCATTATTGTAACAAACTATAACACTCAATAGCAATTGCCCATCAAGTAATGATTCCTGTCTCTTAAAATTCTGTGAAGTGTAAAGTGATAGTACATGCAAAGGTATTGTTTAATGAGGTGCTTGGTTCTTGGTCAAACATTGATATAATGCCATTTAAACCAAGCATGTACCTGAACTCCAGAACCCAACCTTATACCTATGGGACGTCGGTTCTCAACACACGAGCTCATTATCGTTCAAGTTCAGCATGTCCAAAATCTTGTACGTTATCATCTGCCCTCAAATTGATTCTCTTGTTCACTTTCCTCTTTCTACTATGAATACTATCTTTCCCATAATTATCTATGTTTGAGGCTTTAAAATAACTTAGTCATCTTCTCTCCTTCGTCTTCCAAACTGTTCAGTCACTAAATACTATACATTCTTGCAAGATTCTAACCTTCATCCAACTCTTTCAATCCACATTTTCACATCTAAATATTTTCATAGTCCTTTAAATGGGTCTCAACCTTCAGTTTCTTTCCACTATCCATCAACCCTGAGCCTGTTTAACACTGAGTTTATCTTCCTGGGAGACCTATTTTCCTGTTTGAAAGCCTTCAATAACTGCCAGTGTCTGCAGGTAAATTATAAACCTCTTAGGCTTGGATTAAAATCTCTATCATTTTGAAACCATTCTTGCTTTCCATATGATTCGCAACACTCCTCTGAAGGAACCCCCGACCTAGAGTATGCTTATTATTCTCTTCTGAGCTCAGTGAGCATTTCTTCTTCAGTTCTTCCTGCCTGGCACTCCTCTCTCTGCTCCTCTGCCCAACAAACTTCTAGTCATCCTCCTGGGTCAACTTCCAGCTGGTCCCATCACCATCCCATTTAATACCAGTATCCCCTTTCTTGAATTATTACATAGTTTTGTCCCTCAGTTTGGCAATCAGATACCATGTATTGCTGCTTAGGGTTTATTGTGTATGTTTTATTTCCAACTAGGAAACAGGCCCATGATAGGAGACATTAGGACTCTCGCTTTTCCAGAATTATCTAAGTGATCTGCATATAGGTGTTTAATGCACACTTGTTAAATATATAAGTAATCTAACATATAATTTTATTAAACTATGAATCCAAGTCAATACATTTTTACCAAATATAGGAAACTTTGGATCCTAAAAAGTGCCTTCAAACCTATAGAAATAGAACATGATGAATTACCAACTTTTCTCCAACTGAACATCAAAGGAAACAATTTTAATAATTATTCAAATAAAGATTACCAGAGAAGTATACTTTAAGGTCCAAAAATTAAAGTCCATCTAATTTTGTCTTTCAGGGAGATTTTACACTCTAACCTAATATTTAAAAGCTCACTAATGGTCTTAGTATAGGTCAAAACCTATAAAAGAATCTCTTCAGAACTGTAACAATTGACTACTGCAAATGCAAAGTTATTTTACACATTCTCAAAGAGATTCCTCCCCCATTGCTAGAATTTTGTTTTTCTTGAGAAATATAAATTGAAAAACATTGTGTACTCTATAAATGTGTCCATGTAAGCAGTAGGAAAACAAAAGGCCCTGAAATAAATAGAACAACATTCCTCCAGCAATTATCTATTAAAGGTCAGTTACATTTCTCCCACTTCCTCAAAGAGTCAAATCCATCACACTTTCAGTTCCCTGAAAGTGATCTGTACAACAGAATAGAGGCTGGGCGTAGTGGTTCATGCCTGTAATCCTAGCACCTTGGGAGGCCAAGGCAGGCAGACTGTCTGAGCTTAAGAGTTTGAGACCAGCCTGGGCAACACGACAAAACCCATCTCTACTAAAAATACAAAAAATTAGCTAGGCATGGTAGTGCATGCCTGTAGTTCCAGCCACTCTGGAGGCTGAGACACGAGAATTGCTTGAGCCTGGGAGGCAGAGGTTGCAGTGAGCCAAGGTCATGCTATTGCACTCCAGCCTGAGTGACAGAGTGAGATTCTGTCTCCAAAAAAAAAGATCGAGACAAACCCATCTGTGCCCTCCCACTGGCATAGCTTATCCCATGACCTCTGAGTTACCCGCAAATTCTCCCAATGCATAATCCTAAATGAGTGCATTTAGATTTCAGTTCCTGTGGAGACAAAATACACGTGTGCCCAGGCTGCTGCACAGAAGAATTTGAATTTAAAGTCTGAATGCAATTCTGCTTACAATGACAAAACATGTATAATTAAACCTAAAGAACAACTTATCTAGCTTAAGTGAATCCACAAGAAAAACTCATGGTCCTATTCATCCATATGCAAGCACTAAATATATAAGCAAGTGCAGGTGATTTGTTTTCAAGCCACTTTTAATTTAGTATCATCCTAATTAAATATAAAAAAAGCAGTGGTGACAAAAGTGCCAATGTTAAACTGCTGAGTTTTACATGTCAAAACATGCAACAATATTTCAATGTAATCTAGCATTATGAAATTTTCAACAGCAAATGCAGTTTATCACACCACATTGAATATTTGCATAAACCAAAATAGACTAATGCCTCCATATACCTTACTCAAGAACTATACAAAAAGCTGCTAAAACATTTCATCTAAATGACAAATTACTGCAATTATCATATCCCCATTAAATCTCTGTTATTGGGGGAAAATTGGTAGATCCTTTCCATCAGCTATAACTATAGTTAATTAAAGCATTTCTCAGATATCACATTGACAGACTGGGCACATTTACAATAGGTAAGCATCAGGTAAGAAGTGCCATATATATCAGTGGTCCCATAAAGATAAATAACCCTTGTAACTTGTTGGAGCTGAGCTGTCTGCTACTGTAATTTGCTCCATGCATCCTTTAGGCATGTCATTAACTGAGGGAGGAAAGAAAGACAAGCATATTGTTGGATTTGAGACACATGACTTGGGATATTGCTCATGGAAATCAACCTCTTCAATTCAAGTTTTAAGTATTCTAATTTCCTCAGAGACCCACACTTTGATTAGATTATATGTATTTATATGTGTCTTCGAATAACTACCATAGGCTTCCACTTGAGAAGTATTCCATTTTGAAAACATATCAGAATATTCAAAGAGAATTGCAGAAACAATACCAATAATAGTAACTTCCATAGATGTATCCCCATTTTCTCCTTTTAATGCTCACAACAATCCAGTGAGAAAATGATGATAAGAATAAGCTTCCAATCTACAGATGTAGGACCTCATAGTCAATATGTCCAAAGTCAGCTGAGACTAGCTGGGTGTCCAAAACCAGTCCTCCCTTTGACTCTTAGACAACTTGCTTTTTGATCTTTAAAGATATGTTTTAAAGTTTCTTTATCAAAATTGTAGCTACACAATTTTGTAGCTATGGCTTTTTTATATAGCTATACTGTGCAAATAGTTTGGTTTTTGGCTTTTTCACTTGTTTATAGTTTACTATGAACAATCCTTTACTATTTTCTAAAACCACATT